CCAGGGGGGATGGTCACGCCGCAATCCCTTCTCCTCCATTCTCCTCTCAGGATCTTGGGCACACACGCACACACGCCCGGCGTGAGTTTTAAGCCACTGGGTCTGGGACGTGAACCGCGGTCGACTACGTGGGAATCCAGCAACATAGCCATTACGCTAACTGCTGGTTCCCATCAAATTTCCCCATTTTTAAGTGTTGGCAACAAATTGAAATTTCTTAAAATGTTGCAAGGGCAAACAAAAACAAGCCAAGAGTCATCATTTTATATTCTGTGCCCTGAGTAGTTGGAGTAACCAGACACAATTCTCTTAGCTCAGCAACAGCACTGCAGAGGCCTCCACACAGAGGTGGCAGGTGCTTAGCCTGCTGCCACACACTGTGGGTGGTCTGGTTTTGTCTAGTCATGCACTGAAACCCAAGGGACACTGCTGTGGCATTTTAGAGTCAGACCCACTTGTGTTTCTTTTTATACTCTTGAGGTAAGAGGTGTTGATGGACAGTCTGGCCGAAAGGCAAGGCATCTTTCTTTTCGCCCTCTTGATCTTCGTGTTCTTCCTTGGCTAATTTCAACCAAGTCTGTGCTGCCCTGATTCTCACCTCAACTCTCAACCCTACTCTCACACACATCTTTCTGCCTCTCACAGCTGTTCACTATGTTTTTATTTTTTATTTTATTTTTATTTTTTGAGAGGTTTTTGCCATAGGGCGTGTGCGCTCGCCAGACAGACAGAGAGAGACAGAGAGACAGAAAGTGAGAAATCACCCCCAAGGGGGGATGGTCACGCCGCAATCCCTTCTCCTCCATTCTCCTCTCAAGATCTTGGGCACGCACGCACACGCGCCCGGCGTGGGTTTTAAGCCACCAAGTCCGGGACACAAACCGTGGTCGACCACGTGGGAGTCCAGCAACATAGCCATTACGCTAACTGCTGGTCCCAACTATGTTTTTATTTATTTATTTTTTAGAGAGATTTTTGCTATAGGACATGTGCACTCACTGGAGAGACAGAGAGACACAGAAAGAAAGAAATCACCCTCCCCCCAGAGGCGCACCACAATCCCTTTCCTCCATTCTCCTCTTGGGATTTTGGGAATGCACATACAAACGCTGGCGTGAGTTTTAAGCTGCTGGAACTCGAACCTCAGTCGACTATGTGGGAGTCCAGCTACATAACCATTATGCCATCTGCTGGCCCCATATATTTTTTTTAACAATAGAAAGTACGTGTGCAAGAAGGAGAGAGAGAGAGAGAAAAGGGAGCAACACTGACAGGGCTCTCCCACACCTCAATCACTGTCCCCAGCCCTCCAGCTCCTGGATACCCATGCATGTGTCTAGCCTGTTCTCAAGCCAACCAGGAGACCCCACCCTGTGGTCTGACACCTGGGACCTGCAGGCCACGTGGGCCACCAATGAGCCACAGTGGCAGGCCTTGCTCACCTTTGAAGAGTATTCTTCATGGTGCTGGGGAAGCCGTACTCACGCCTGTAATCAGCTCCTGGGGCCCACTCCTATCACTGTCCCAGCTCCTGTGCTGATTTGATTCATCTGAAAAAACTCCTCAGGCAACATCAATCACTGTCTCTCTTTAAAATTTGCTAGAGGACACACTCACAAGAGAGAAAGGGAGAGAGACAGAGAGGAAGAATCCCCACCCCCATGAGGTGTGGTCATGCCACAGTCCCCTTTCCTCCATTTCTCCATCCTCTTGGGACTTTAGATATGCAGTTGGCTTGTTTTTCAACCACAACCTGACAACATAAATAAAATTATTATACTCGTTTTACAGGTGAGGTGGCTAAAGTGCAGAGAACTGACTTGTCCACGTTACACAGCTAAGAAATGGTAGGCCTATGATCCGAGCCCAGGCAGCCAACACCGGAGTCCGTGCATTAAATGCTGTGTGGTATTGTAAGTGCGTGTCAGACCAAAGTCTCACAGAATACCATGTACCTTTACCACCTGAAATAAATGCTTAATGTCTTCTTTTACTTTTTTCTGATCTATTCAATTATTTTTTAAACAAATGCTAGTCACCCCAGTCCCTCCCAGGGAAGATTCAAACTGCACATTCTG